CCATTCAATTGAATTTGCCACAGGTTAACTTCACTCGAAGTGTAGTAACATCTACAAGCGATATGAATGCTCCTGAGCCAACTCAACTTCAACTGTCCCAGATAAGGGTATGAATACTGTAATGGAATCATTTAGCCCAAGTCTTTTTATTTTTAACAAATTTGCAAAGATGTTAAAAACCTGTTTTTTGCTTTGCCATTATGGTGTATGGAGTGTAGATTGATGTGGGAAAAAGTAATTAAAAGCATTTTAACATAAGGCAGCAACAAAACAAAATGTGAAAAAAATGAAGGGGTATGAATATATATATATATATATATATATATTTATTTTTATTTATTTATTTATTTTTTTTTGACATAATTGTGGTAAATTTTAGTTCCAAATCCAATTTTGAGACAAATTTTTGATATTTTATTTATGATTAGTATATTACATTTTTGTGAATTTTGTATCATCTGATTTTGTAGTCGTAGGTTCCAGACTCTTTATTATAATTATGACACAACATTTACCACATTACCACATTTACCACATTACATCTAACAGTAGATGTCCAATATTCATACATGACAGAACAAAAAACAAAATGCAGAAATCTTTATTTATTTTACTTTCTATCTTACCAAATTCTGACACAGTTATTAAACAAGATAGTTATGTTTGTTATTTAGTATTTTTATTATTAAAATAAGAACGAAGAAGTAACTTTACAAACAGGACAAAGATAGAAATGAAATAAAGAGTGCTTTGAGTTTTTCAGGTAGGTTTAGTATTCATGTGTCACATGATGATGCTGATGTTGTACGTGAGCGTCGGGGTTCGTAACGCTCAGAATCTCTGTCTGCGTCTCAGGGCGGGAAGATCCCGATCCGCTGGACGGCTCCTGAAGCCATCGCCTTCCGTAAGTTCACCTCGGCGTCAGACGTCTGGAGCTACGGCATCGTCATGTGGGAGGTGATGTCGTTCGGTATGAGTTATGTTCACCGGGATCTGGCAGCGCGTAACATCCTGGTCAACAGTAACCTGGTGTGTAAGGTGTCTGACTTCGGCCTGTCCAGATTCCTGACGGAGAACTCGTCTGACCCCACATACACCAGCTCACTGGTGAGGACACACCAGCCACACCCTTCAATACATGCACTCAAT